AATTTGGCATCATATATAAACTATTTGGAGCAGCAATTTTTGCTGTAAATTCTCTAAACTTTGCTTCCAAATTTACCTTCTTCTCCTCTGTTCTTTTCTTCCTTTTCCTCCTCTTCATCTCCCTCTACTTTGTAAACTAAATGACATTTTATTGTGTGTAGTCTATGCTGCTCACATTCTCTGAAACCCATGCCCTGAAACACCTATATTGACTTCATCTCCATTTACTGTCCTTTTTTTGTACCACACTTCAGTTATTACCTCTCTTCTCATGACTCTTGATGAACCTTTATGTTTGTCAGTCAAGCTGTCTGATAAGACATAGCCAGAAAATAAGACTAGTCCAGGGTACAAACACCCACGATCAGAGCTAAAAGCATAGTTTATTTAGCTTTCTTTTTCCCTGTGATTAGACCTGCTCACAACAGAATTCAGAAGAAGTAATTCTTCTTTTAAGTTTGTGTTTTTAAACTGTTTTGAGAACAAACATGAAAAATACAAAAATTTTAGTTTCCATAAGTACTGTGTGAATAAAACGGTTTGTCCTCTTTCTGAGTAGTATAAGCAATAAAAATAATTGAAGCAATATTCATTTTTTGATATACAGTGTAGATTATTGCTCAGCAGTAAAAAACAACTTGTTTGATGTGCTGTATTTAAATTAATCATCATTGTCTATCAGTTTGTCATACTGTGATGGCTTGCCTAATACTATGATGCTAGCAGCTATGGCACTGATAATTTCAAATGCCAGTGAGGTCACCCATAGTGGACAAGTTTCAGCAGAACTTCCAGACTAAGACAGACTAAGGAAGAAAGGCCTGGTGATCTACTTCCGAAAATTAGCCAGTGAAACCCTATGAATTACATTGGTCATATAGTGTTGGAAGAACATGCTCAGAATTTCTCAGGCTGGAAGAACTGAAGAAAAAGTTGAAACTTTGAGTTGCAGTATTGAAGGATTCTATGGGCAATATATTGAATGAAGCAGGAAACATCAAAAGAAGATGGAAGTAAGAATTGGTTGATGTTCATCCATTTCAGGAGGTAGCATATGAGCAAGAACCAATGGTATTGAAGGAAGAAGTCGGATCTGCACTGAAGGAATTAGCAAAAAACAAGGCTCCAGGAATTGATGGAATACCCATTGAGATGTTTCAACAAACAGTTGCCATGCTGGAGGCACTCACTTGGCTA